GATTGATTTGAGGATGAGGCATTAGCATACTGACTCGCTTTCTTCCTTCCCTTTCTTAGTCCAATCTCGAATGGAACTTTTTTTTTGTTAGGATTGTTACAAATATTTTTTACTCTATTTCGAAACGAAATAGGAAATTAACATGAATTATAGTCAACAAACAGTACGAGTACGAGCTGCAAGGTACATTAGTCTGGGTTTCATGATTACTTTATCCCATGCAAATCATTTGCATGTAACTATTCAATATCCTTACGGAAAAATTAATTGCATCGGAGCGTTTCCGCAGTCAAATCCATTTTGAATTTGATAAATTCATTACTTGTGAAGTATGTGTTCGTGTATGTCCTATAGATCTTCCCGTTGTTGATTGGAAATTGGAAACGAATATTCGAAAGAAACGATTGCTTAATTACAGTATTGATTTCGGGATCTGTATATTTTATGGTAACTGCGTTGAATATTGTCGAACAAATTGTTTATCAATGACTGAAGAGTATGAATTTTCTACTTATGATCGTCACGAATTGAATTATAATCAAATTTCTTTGGGTCGTTTACCAATGTCATGTCAGTAGTCGATGATGATCATTTTTTTAATATGTTAAAAATGAAAAGCTCTGGTACGAGATTAAGAATGAGAAACAAAAGTGGGATTGAAAATTGAATTTTCATTAATGTTCACAACGTGTAAAATAGAATACAAACTACCACAGTAGATTCAACGAGTGCCGTTACAATATTCTCAGGTAAGATCTTAACAATATCTGTTGCAGCTAGGTCAGTCTCCAAGCTCTTATATTTGTGAAATCGACTCCTACCTAATCTTAGAGCAGTGTATATACCTTGAGTACTTTGTTTATGGGTTTTTTGCTTCGGTCCTGTCAATCGTCCGTCTCCAATGCAATGTCTTTTCGTTCCGGATATATATATATATATATATATATATATAAAGTCGAGGCATTTGACTCTTCCATTAGTGCCCCTTGACCTTGATGAGTTGGCTTACACTATTTTCTTAGGAAAGGGGAGAGAAATTGCGAAAACTGAATTACGATAGCTCAAGTTCAGTGAGCTTTAGGTATTGGTATTGCCAAGAATCAGGCCTTTTCTTTTGTCTCGAAGTCATTCTTCATTCCAATTTTGAATAGCAAGCGTAAGCGCAGGAGTTATCTTGCTCTCGCTATCGTATCCCTTTCCCCAAGCACTAACTCATATTTCGCAGACGCTCTTAAAAGATTTAAGGTAGTTGAAATAAAGTATTAATGGTTTCCATTCAAAGTTAATGGCAAAAGAATTTCAATTTTGAAATACATGAATATACGAAATGGTTTTTTAGAATTGTAATGGAAATTAAAAGTTGAATAGGGGTGCATTCAACCCGACAATCCAGACCAACCCAACCCGAACTATAGGGGTTGGTTGGGTTGGATTAGCCTTTCGGGTTGGTTTGGATTCATTTTTCTGAACCCGAACTAACTTGGTTCGGTTTCGAGTTCATGGGACAAAACCCTGAATTGCCCCGAACCAAACAAAAATGTATAAAATATACTAAGAAATTTACCTTCATAACACTCACACCTAAAATAGCTTCTTAATCAACATGTAGTACGTGAGAGAATTTTATATTATTTTAGAAATTCTGTAACACTAGAGATAAAATTGGATCGGAAAAAAAATTAGTTTCAATGGATTTAAAAATTTTGTTATAAAATTGAAACAAGTAATTCTAAATTCTAATGTATTTATTATCTATGTGTTCGTAACATTATTATATCACAATTTATATATATTTTTTATTTTTCTAATAGGCTCTCTAACTCCATCATCTCTAACTTATTAGACTATTTCAATTATATATATATATATATTTTTTTTTGTTATATATAGTATTTATAGACTAATCCTTTTTATTGATATCTTTTCTTTTTATAAAGAACTCGACTTCGTTATAAAGGTAGACTATTTCAATTATAATAATTCTCAACAAGTGTCGATATTTTAGTTGTCTTAGTTTTATGAGGATGTTGAACTATGTTAATATGTTACAATTTTCGCTCTTTTTTTTGTGTGAATAATTATATATTGATTTGGGTTTGTTTGTAAACTTTTAATTATCCGGTATAAGTTCTATAAAAAAAAAAATATTATAAATTGTGGATAAATTTTTAACAACCGGAACCAATCCGAAAATAGAGGGTTGGGTTGGGTTGGGTTGGGTTGTGAAAATTTTCGGGTTGGGTTGGATTACCAATCTAACCAGCTCGAACTTTTGGGTTGGGTCAAAAAAATCCTTCAACCCAACTTAATCCGGACCATGTACACTCCTACCGTTGAAAGCTGAATTTTTTTCATTGGGTGCCGTGAGGCATAGGTTTGAAACTCGTGAGGCATAGGTTCGAAACTCGTGAGCAGCCAAATTACAACGAAATATAATAATTATTATCATAGTATTGAGAATGTTTATATGTAAATTAATAACATTAAAAAAAATTATTATTATTTATAAAGCCCTTCAATAACACCAATTACAGGGATATACATTAAACTCAACAACTCGAACCGACCCAACCCGAATCATAGGGGATTGAGTTGGATTAGATAACATTTGAGGTTAGGTTAGATTGGGTTAATTTTCTGAAATTGAATAGGTTCGGTTCGAGTTTCGAGTTCATTGGACAAAATTTCGAGTTGACCTGAATCGAACAAAATCTTATAAAATATACGAAACAACTTAAATATTTGTGTGTCAGAGTGAAAATTGTGGAATAGTACAAATCTTACACCTAAATATTTCTACCCCAGTTCTCTCCACTCACCTTTCATCTCTTCCTCCAATTATCTCTCCTCGACTAATCACTCAAATATTTTCCCTATGCATAATTATTTTTGAGCTAATAATATATACATACATACATAGTTCTGTAAAAATAATGTACAGTAAAAGTTAGGTAAATAATAAATTTTAATGAAAATAATAATTTAGTCTTTCAACTTTGATATATAAAAATTTAACACTTTTGACCATATCTGTAGAAATTAAATAAAATGTTCTTCCCTATTACGAGAGTCTTATATTGGTTGGGAGGAGAACGAAACATCCTTTATTAAGGTGCGAAAACCTTCCCCTAGCAGACATGTTTTAAAGCCTTGAGAAGAAGCTCGAAAGGGAAATCCCAAAGAGGACAATATCTGCTAGCGGTGGGCTTAGACTGTTACACCTATATAGATGTAAATTTAAATTGTGGTTGTTGGCTAAACGGGGTTGATTATATTTTCTCTCCCTTACCCTACCCAATTTCTCGAGTTTGCCCTAATTCTCGTCCCATCTCCATTTGTGTGTATATAGAATAAAAAATGAAGGTTAAAATAGATGGCAAGAACGAAGATAGAAAAATTTTATTGGTCTGAGTAGACATCTCGTAAATATAGATACTCCTCAATATCCCGGCTATTCATGTTCCCCCTTACCCTACCCAATTTCTCGAGCTTGCCCTGATTCCGTCCCATCTCCATTTGTGTGTAAAATAAAAAAAAATGAAGGTTAAAATAGATGGCAAGAATGAAGATAAAAAAGTTTATTGATCTGAGTAGACATCTCGTAATTATAGCTAACTTATACCGCGTATGGATATTCCTTAATGTCTTGACTATTCACGGAACGTGAGAAGCAGATGAATAATCATTTGTTTCCAGAAGAAATTGAAGAATTTCTCAGGAATTCCACAAGATCCATTTGTTCTTTTTCTCTGACAGATGGTTAGAACTTCATATGTGTTCGAGCCCTATTGAGAGGTTCACTAGAGATCATAAATTGTTGAAGAAAGAAAAAGATGTTTCTTTTGTCCCGTCCAGACGATCGAAAAATAAAGAAATAATTAATATATTCAAGATAATGATGTATTTACAAAATACCGTCTCAATTCATCATATTTCATCATATCCGGAATGTGATATGGTTCCGAAGGATGAACTGTCGTCTTTTTATGAAAACCCTTCCTAATTTACTTCAAAAATATTCATAATTTTTTAAAAACTTCAAAAACACATTTTAATTTTTTTAAAAATACTAAAATATACATTTATTGTTAATACTCATGTTAAAAACACTCATCAACCTCCAAAAATAACATTAAAACGTTTGTAGATGATTTATGAAATACCCATAGACAGTTTTTGTGATGTCCTACATTAGTTTTTGTGATGTCCTACTAGACGTGTTTTAAAGCCTTGAGGGGAAGCCCGAAAGGGAAAGCCCGAAGAAGACAATATCTGCTAGTGGTGGGTCTAGGCTGTTACAAATGGTATTAGAGCCTGACATCAGACGATGTGCCAGCCTTCTCACTCTTCCCCAAAGGGGGGTAGACACGAGTAGGAACGAGTGCCAGCAAGGACAAAACACCCTTGAGGGGAAGCCCGAAAGGGAAAGCCCGAAGAGGACAATATCTGCTAGCAGTGGGTCTAGGCTGTTACAAATGGTATTAGAGTCAAACATCAGACGATGTGCCAGCCTTCTCACTCTTCCCCAAAGGGGGGTAGACACGAGTAGGAACGAGTGCCAGCAAGGACAAAACACCCTTCCCCAAAGGGGAGTAGACACGAGCAGGAACGAGTGCCAGCGAGGACAAAACACCCTTCTCTGAAGGGGAGTAGACACGAGCAGGAACGAGTGTCAGCGAGGACAAAACACTCTTCTTCAAAGGGGAGTACACACGAGCAAGAACGAGTGCCAGCAACTTCTTCTCCTACCTCTCAAAAGGAAAGCTGACAATATCTGCTAGCCGCGGTTACCGTTTTCATCCCTATATTGACTTTTGTTGACAATTTAGATCTATTATTGAAAATTTTGAAAATTTAATTTAATTGGGGAAGTAATTAGGATAGGTGGAATTTGCTTAGCCCTCGCCAATGAAAGATCACGTTATCTGAAATTTCCAAACAATTACTAAGCTCCCACTCTTTCTCTCTCTCTCTCTAAACAAGCTCTCCTTAATGGAAGATTTTGAGTTCACAAGTCCCTCTTCTCTTCCTCTCTCTCTCCTTCTTTCACCACATCACTCCTTCAAATTCAAATTTCAAGATTTTGAGTATCAATTTGCAGAGGCATAGATATCAAAATGGATGGGAAGGGCAAGAGCAAGATGCCTCCTAATGATGATGATCACAACCCTAACCCTAAAAGAACTCGCCCTTCTTCTTCATCTGGGTTCACTCTCTTTCTCTCTCTCTATTTTTTATTTCTATTTTTTCTGAGTTTTCTAGGTTTTGATGTTCTTGTCCGTTTGTTTCTCATTATAGTATTGGAGATAGATCTGTAGCTGAAGATGAACACGTGCTTGAATTTTTGTCTCGAATCCAACCTATCTTGAGCAATTGGGTATTTTTTATTTTTTGAACCTTTCTTGAAAATCCAAATTTGAATATGAAATTCATCTCTGACATTTGTGTTTTTTAAGGTTGAAGTGGGAGTGATAAATGCACTTCAAACCCACTTTCATCCTCTTCTTGAATTACTAAGGTTCGTATTTTAATTCATTCATTTTCGTTCTTCTACTTGTCTATTTGATTCGATTCTATTCTAGTTTTGTGAAATTAACAATCTTCCTACCCGATAGTTACATACGTTGTTGTTACCTTTTTGTTTGCATCACATATTACACCAATTTCAGTCTCTCAAATCTTGCTTTCAAATCTCTCTGCCCCATTTTCTAAAACTTTCTTCTTGAACCGAAACTAGAAGCTCGAGCATACGCCGCTTGGCCGTAGACGATGCAAGAACGAATTTGCTTAACTCACTTGTTGTTGGAAAGTGAGTGCCGCATAATTGCAAATCCCCTGTTGTCAAAAGTGTGATTGTAACAAGTGAGATCTAGATACAATTTTATGAGAATTTTGTTTTTAGTTTTGTGTAGGATAATTATGTTTGTTTTCTCACCGTTTCTTTACTGATTTGTTAACTAAATTTTTTTTGGATTTTTCAAATTTATAATAATTTAGGTTAGGTTTTTTTTATCCTTATTGAAAGTACCCTGAAACAAATAATCGAACTTGAAAGAAATGAAATAAATAACATGGTAACTTGAGGAGATAGTTTGTTTGTATTAAGGTATTTGTGGTAAAACGTACAACTCTGTTCCTATAGATGTTCCATGATTACTGTTTTCTTAATGCATGACTGTCGCATTCCGTGATGTTTAATGTTCGAGTTTGAACAAGCAGAGCTTATTGACTCAGAATTTAGTCCTACCCGGCATATTGTTACGTATTCCTATTAACCTATGGTTTGGTTTGATCACATAGAGAAAGGATAGAGAGTGGAGAAGAAGCAATTGTTGAAGGAGGGGTTGAGAAGTTCAAGCTAGTTTTCTGCAATCAACCAGCCTCCACTATCTTCACCAACAACAAAATCAAAGCAGAAAATGGTGAGGCTCTGGTAGTTGCAATTTGTGATGCCACAACCAATGACATAATACGCACGGGTCTCATGGCATCGGCTGCGGTTGAGCTCGGTCTTGTCAATGGAGACTATGATGGAACTAACCGTAGTGTAAGTGAATTGAATCGAAACGTTTTATCCGCAAGAGAGGGGAAAAGGCCTTTAATGCATGGTGATGGTACCAAATTCCTTTTGGAGAATGGCTATGCTCCCATTAATTGCGTGTGTATTACGGACAACTCGAGTTGGACGAAATCCAAGAAGTTTCGTATAATAGCGAAGATTATAGATGAAAAAATTCTAGCCATGTTTCCAACAATTGGGGTTGCTGTGTCCCAATCTTTTAGGGTCATGGATCATCGTGGGGAAGGTAAGCTGTATCTCTTTACAGAACTAACCATTTTGTAGTTCTACATCGTTGAATGAATGAATCTTACTTCTTTACATGGTTTTAGTGAACAAGAAGCATCATCCTCCGAGCAGAGAAGATGAAGTTTGGCGATTGGAAGGCATTGGAAAAGATGGCGCGTATCACAAAAACTTATCCTCCCATGGCATAAAAAATGTGGGCGACTTCTTACTGAAATACCATGAAATAGGTTCTGCTCTTCTGAAAAAGGTAGCCCAACAAAATCAAAATTGAAGTTATTTGTTGTTAAACCGTTCTAAGAGAAGAATGGTTAGTGTTCCATTAAATATAAGTTGGAAAAGTATTGTAATTGAAGTATGTTAGTATCAAAGAAACCCTCTTCTTATTTCTTTCTAATCCGATTATTCATTTTGATATGCTTCGACCGAGAGTCTAAACCAACCAAATAACAATTTGTGCAGCTGCTTGGTAACAAAGTTCCAGATAAAACATGGACGATGATGGTTGAAAACGCTTTTGAGTGTCAAAGCTATACCAGATATGAGCCATTATCAGAGGTTACACACACTCTTTGAACTTTTATTTCTGTATGTTGAAATAGAGAACTTTAAACTGAGTCGGATGTTGTATGAAAACAGACATATTTGCTATCAAATAATGTCATGGAAGATAGAGCTTATAATGAAGTCCTTGACATTCTCGAGCCGAACAATTTAGATCACTTGTGCTTGGAATGTGGGCTTGCTGGTATGGTGACTTAAAGTATTAAATATTTTTAAAGTTTAAAATCATTGCTTGCTTAAATGTTTGTTAAAACTTATATAAATTTGAATGGCAGATTCGCGGCCACTACTTACCGGAGAAGCTTCAACCTTATGTGAGGCAGCTGCAGCCACAACGGTATGCAGCCACAACTATGCAAATACTCATACCGATCAAAGACCTTTGACAAAGTGAGTATCCGAACTCAATGATTCATACGAATCACTATCTTTTACATCTCTGTGCAACGATAACTTAATTGAGACTCTTTCCTTTAGATTTCATACCAACTTCGTTGAAGACTCTTTTCTTTAGATTTAATATAAACTTCGTGGGAGACTCTTTCCTTTAGATTTAATATAAACTTCGCTTATTTGATATATACCTTTATAATATGTATATATATGTGTATATATATATATATATATAAAGGTATATCGTTTTTTCTATATGAATGTTATATTTACATCAATCAATTTTGTCACCTATAATGCATACAATGGTTTTGGTTCATTTACTTTTGTGGATATCATTTTCTTTTTTCTTTTTTCTTTTTTTTGTTTGTATATATATTATGGTTCCAAAATTTTTATATTTATGTTTAACTGGTAAATCCAAAATTTTCTACTTAATTTAAGGTCTTCACTCGCCACTACTGTATACATATACATATCATGAACATTGAATGCGAAAATACTTTATTTAAACTTTTATAAAACATCACCTTCATCTTATAATACAGTCGGACTTACGTGTTTTGAAAATACTTTTAAAAACGACAAAACAAAAGGCTAAATAAAATAAATAAACGTTTAAATTAAAAACATCATATTCTAGCCTAAATCTAAGAAAATAAATACGACTACCCTATGCATGTCTCATGGTCTTGAGTTGCGATGTCGTCGTCTGCCGTACATGAATGTCTTGCCTTAACCTGAAATAGAAGTAGCACGTGGCTTGAGTATTTAAAGAAATACTTCGTAGGTGATCTCAATATTGGGGTTAAATGTAAGAACATGCGAATGAAATAACAGGACCCATCCTTTCAATTTATTTTCCTATGGTACTATCATAAAAGGTAACTTGGATGTGTACCAAGATGATATGAAATGTTTTATGATACGAGATATGTGATAAATTGACATGTTTATGATACGATATATTGTGATGCGAAATGTTACATATAGACATACATACATATATACATACATATACATATAGACATATATACATACATATACATACACATACATATAGATATATATACATACATATACATACACATACATACATATACATATATTTATATCTCCGTTATTCACATGTCGTATCATAATCATATCATACCATAAACACTTTGTGTCATATTGTTCCCAAACTTATCATAGTCTTAACATTCTTATACGTATCACAGTCATATTGTTACATAAACTTATCTTAGTCATATCGTTATAAAAACGTATCTTAATGCTTTCATTCTATCAATTTATTATAATCCTAAACCCTAAACCCTAAACCATATCCCTTTCTACCCATAACCTAACCATATTCTTTTATCAATAGTTCATGACCATATCGTTTTTATCAATCTCTCATATCTATAGCACTTCGATACGTAACCTAACTTTAACGTTTCATGAACATATCTTACTTCTATCATTACATTACGTTTAGTGCATCCTTCTCATATCATATCTCAAACATATCATTGAACATATCATACCGTAAGTATTATCATACAATTCACAATCATATACATATCATAACATATGCATATTCATCCATAATCAATTCACATATATCAATATATATGACACGTGCAGAACCACGGGGCGCGTGTCAACATCAAATATAACCATGCGATGGTAAAGTCACTTACTTGATTAGCTTAAGTTCGTGTCACCAATTTATCCTTAAGAAAGTTCGAGTTTTGTTCTTTGTATCCAAATCAGCCTCGATCGAAGCCTTTGATACAAATTATCAACCCGTGCCTGCCTCACACTTTCACCATAATAACACACCGACTCTTGGGCCATTTGGGCCAGTCTCATTTGGGTCCTTCAATGGTTCAGGCTCTGGCTCCTTAGCAATTTGACACAAATTATGCAACACACAGCAAGCAACAATGGTCTGTGGCGCATGGCTTAAACCCACATTCAAATCCGGAAGAATCTTCCACCTAGCCTTAAAAGCAAGCCAATTGCATCAACTACAACCCACTGACCCTTCATCAGCAGTCCATCAGACAAGTTCTGTGCAGGCGAACCCCTCTCCATAAACACCTTCATTACATTATGATTATGATACAGTGCACGTCTGGGGAAGTATCTCAATGTTTATGTACATACAACATACATGATTCTTCTAGTTCTCATATTAACATCTCTTTAGACAGAACCGTAGTCTCATCTCTTTGCTAAGCTTAGTAACAGATGCTCGTTAGATATTTATATTAATATCATTTTTCATAATCTTAGGGTTGTGTCCTAGGTCGATACATCATCATACAACATGCTTAATATTGGAAAACATAATCATATTAGGGTAAACGTCATGCAAGACATTATAGTCATCATAAAGCCATCAAGTGCATCGAGTACATCAAATACATCATACATCATCATATAATGCACCATACGTTATCGTACATCATCATAGCTTATACACCATAGTTCATACATCATCATACATCATCATATAACTAGTGTACGACATCATACGATACAGCTCATACATTGTAGACATAAATATCACATGCATCATCGTATGTTATCTCAAACAATCATAAATTGTAACTCATACAATTTCTAACCTATCCTTGGCCTTAGCAGGAGTATTCCCTAATTTAATTAACGTAATCTCCCATTCTTCAAGAGTTGCTCCAATTGTTGTCGGGGTTCGTTTTCTATCGCACCTTTCGTCAAATTTTGTTAGTATTTCTCAATTATATTAATAATGTGAAATACAACTCTAAAATGGCCTCAATTACCTTAATTTGAGCCGAAAACAAGTTCGGGAGGGTCAGAATGGTAGAAATTGAGCTGGAAATGGAAAATCGAGCCAGATAAGCCGTTGGAAGCCGAGCCAAGCTGTAGAAAACAGGTTTGGGCCTCGGGTTATTGGACTACTGCAGATGTGGGCTACTGGGCCGAGGCAAAACTTGGGCCGAGGGTTTGCAGGCTGAGCCAGCGGTTTGGGTTGCAGAGGCGGCCGCGGGTCGTGGTCACAGATGGGTCCGACCCGGATCCGACAGGTCTTTTCTTCTTCACCTGACTTCCTATGCATTTTTCCGGCGAACCTTCTCTCTCCTTCCCACGACGTTTTCGAGGTCAATTTGAGTCCTTTTTCTCCCTCTTCTCTCAGTTTGTCTCTCCTCTTCTCTTCCTCGAAGTCTCGTGACTTAAAAACACTGAAGAACCACATATCTAAGAAACTTAGGAATCCCAAATTTTGGCTTCGTTTACCAATGACAATACGTAACGAAAAGGGCACAAAACTTACCCTAAGATGATGTGCAATTGTCGGGGATCCTCCTCTTGGTGTTAACCAAGCTTTTCGACGTCGGTTGTGATAGTTTCATTTCAGACTCTCGCTGGAGTTTTCTTCGATCCTCCCTCTCTGTTTCTCGTTCTATCCTCGTCGCAGGTGATCGAGAATGTCAGACTCGATTCTAAAAATATGTTTGGTTTTTCGAGAATCTTTTGCACACTTTTACATGAGTTTAGAGATCAAATTGGTAATCGCTTACTTCAATAATTCGATTCTAAAAATAGTTTTCTATACAGATAATAATAAGAACAACCACTTAGAATTCTCGAGAAAAATAAAACTCCAATCGAACGATTTTTAAATGGAAGATTTAAAAAAAAAATTTAACAATTTAATTTTCTTCATTATTCTTTTAAATATTCTCTTTAGAAAAGAGTTAATATAGTAATTTATTGGTCTACCAAATTTATAATATTAAATATGTTCAATGCTCTTAATTAATTGGGTGAGGATTTAGTTTTATTAAATATAACAAAAAAAAAACATAAATGATTTAAAATATAATATGCTCTGTCAATGTCGTCTGGAAAAGGAATTTAAAATAATAATATTTTTAAATAAATGATCTTTTTTTTGGGAAACATTTGGGGAGTTGTAAAAAATTATAATGTGAGGGATTAATTATATAATATTAACTAAATTAATATTAGGCGTGTAATTGTCACCCTTTCCAAGATAAATAACCATTTATTTAATTAAAAAAAATTAGAGAAAAAAATTAAATACACTGTATTTGTCAAATTGGGTAAAGACCCTAAATTTCCACACGACTCATCTATAATGCGGAAATATAACTCTTACATGAACATCATTATAACATAAACTTCAAAAAATGCTTAAAACAACTTTTTTTTTCTAGAAAACATAGTCCTGGTCTTACGAGTTTAAATATGAAATATTGATATTTAGAGAAAATAAAAGCAATACAAAATAATTTAAAATAATGAAATGCATAACAATTTATTCTAACCTAAACTTAGAAATTTAAATATGAATCTACCACATGCCATAGTCTCTGCTTGCGATGGCGTCGTCTTCTGTATTAGTGTGTCTTGCCTTTACCTGAAAAATGGTGTGGTAGACAGCTTGAGTAATTCGAAGAATACTCAGTAAGGGGCTCCATTGTAAGGGGTCTTGCAAATGCAAATGCAAACACATGCAATCATGATTTAGGAACTTATCTTTAATCATTATAGGGGTGGCTCCAGTCTCAGAGAGATTGGATGTGCAGTACTTCCCTACACACAACTCACATGTGCGAGTGTGAATCTCTAGGGTGCTCGCACACGTCAATTACCTTAACCAGGGTCGAAAAAAGGTCCAAGAGGGTCGAAACGGTGAAAATTGGGCTACAAATGACAAGTTGAAAAGTCGCCGGAGAACCGCCGGTAAGGTGCTGGAAAGATGCCAGGCGTCGCTAGTGAGCCACCGAAATCGCCACCGAGCCGCCACGTGGGTTGAAGATCGGTTCGGGTTGGTATTTCGATGGGCTTGCGAGTCGTCAGCTGTAGGTGGGCCGCTGGGCCGCAGGTGAGTTTGGGCCTCGAGATACTGGGCTAGATTGGTTTTTGGGCCTCAGGTTGCGTAGTTTGGTTTCGTGTTGCAGAACGGGCGGGGGTCGTACGTAGGTCTCGGGCTCGATCGATCTCTAGCTGCTGGGGCGATGGATTTTAGGCCGCAGATATCCGATGCTGGTCCGACTCGGATCCGACGGATCCTTTCTTCTTTGCCCAATTTCCTGCGCGATTTTCCAGTGGCACGAGCAGCCCCTCGGCCTGGCGGTGCGACGGCGATTCCGGTGGCTCACCGGCGACG